AAACAAATATGACACAGACATATTTGCAAGTATTTGGGACTTTATATATAGAAGACGCGAAAAGAGCTATATCTTTGTCTTTGGCCCATTATCCTACAGCTAAGTTACGTAAGAGGAGCAATGAACGTGACCGAAGGTAAGGTCATTGTCATGGTAATAAACTCCAACAATAGAAGAGCGGATGTCAGGTTAAGGGTATAATTGGTGGCATTCTGGCATTCAGCATGTATATACTACATATATAACCCTGTTTTTTTTTTTTTTTTTTTTTTTTGGGGGGGGGGGGGGGGTCTTGTTGTTTTTGCAGTTGCTTTTGTTTAAAGAATTTTAATGGGATCACGTTCCGACATACTCATAAATAAAAATTGTTAATCATATAACGTAGAACCAGATTTTACCCTATCTGAAATAATCCTTCAAAGATATACAACCATGCAAGATAAAGCAATGAACAAGAATATGTGATAAGATAAAATGTCACAGACAAAAAGATGATTATGAGAAATTGTTTCTCTCTCTTTTTCTTTCTCTTTATGTATTTCTACCCTCCCCCCCCCCCCTCTCTCTCTCTCTTTCGCTATTTCTATATGTCTCTCTCTCTCTCTCTCTCTGTGAGACAGAGAGAGAGAGAGAGACATATAGAAATAGCGAAAGAGAGAGAGAGAGGGGGGAGGGTAGAAATACATAAAGAGAAAGAAAAAGAGAGAGAAACAATTTCTCATAATCATCTTTTTGTCTGTGACATTTTATCTTATCACATATTCTTGTTCATTGCTTTATCTTGCATGGTTGTATATCTTTGAAGGATTATTTCAGATAGGGTAAAATCTGGTTCTACGTTATATGATTAACAATTTTTATTTATGAGTATGTCGGAACGTGATCCCATTAAAATTCTTTAAACAAAAGCAACTGCAAAAACAACAAGACCCCCCCCCCCCCCAAAAAAAAAAAACAACAAAAAAAACAAAAAAAAAACAGGGTTATATATGTAGTATATACATGCTGAATGCCAGAATGCCACCAATTATACCCTTAACCTGACATCCGCTCTTCTATTGTTGGAGTTTATAACCATGACAATGACCTTACCTTCGGTCACGTTCATTGCTCCTCTTACGTAACTTAGCTGTAGGATAATGGGCCAAAGACAAAGATATAGCTCTTTTCGCGTCTTCTATATATAAAGTCCCAAATACTTGCAAATATGTCTGTGTCATATTTGTTTGTATACTTTGTCAATAAATACTAACATACTATAATTGTCAAAAATTGTCAATACATTGATACATATTGATAATTATATAGCGCCAATACATAAACATACTCAAAACGCTTTAATAATAATAGTGGGTTCTTGTATAGCGCTCATGTCAGTCAGATTTGACCCTCCTGGCGCTCCCGATTATTATCCTAGCCCGGCTTTAGCACGGCTGCCATACGGCGCTCTAGCATTTCAAGGAATAAATCCCTACCAGGTACCCATTTCATTCACCTGGGTGGAGTGTGGCAAATGTAGATCAATGTCTTGCCTAAGGACATTAGTGCGGCGGCGGGACTCGAACCGCGGACCTTGTGATCGACAGTCCGGCGACGCATCCACTCGACCACAAAACCTCTACATTAGTAAATAAATACAGAATAATTATTTTGCTCTCCAAGCAATAGTTACAAACTATTTTGTTTCCCCTATATCATCTTCCGCTAGAATCCTCTCTTTTCATGTTTATTTATTATTTTCTTGTCCTTATCTCCCTCTCCATGATTTTTCTGTTTGTGTAGGGTATTCTTGCTATTTGTTGTTGTTTATGAGTCAGAGATAATGTTTCATTCTTTCTCTTATAATGTTGTCCACCTACTTGAGCAAAAGGATGTGATATTGCAAAATGTCCCAAACAAAGAGATGATTATGAGAAATTATTTTTTCTCTCTCTCTCTCTCTTTCTCTCTCTCTCTCTCTCTCTCGCTTTCTCAGCGCCAAATTCCATCTTCATCTCTGGTACTGTTTCCATTCCGCTATTTGATTTTCCTTTCCTTTCGATCTTGAGATAAATGAATAACAAAACACGGAACGAGCGCCTTGTGATATCGAAATAAGAAGAATAATACTGGACAATAATTATAAAAAGTAAAACTTTTGAATGTAAATCATGATAACAAAATGGAAACTAAAGAGGAATCCAGAGCGGGTGGGGTGGGATTCATCGGAGAGACAAAGTAAAACGTATAACGTCCTACGTATATTAGTACCGAAAATATACCATAATAAACATTTGTTCGTATCATTTTGATGCAACAGAGATTTACAATCAAAAGAGGTACTTTTTATAATTACAGTAACATTGTTCTCATTTATCAGGCGTGTTTTATTTCTCCATATCAAGGTTATGGTATAGTTTTCTCAAGATCGAAAGGAATACTTTCGTAATAAAAGCAAATAGCGGAGCGGAAAACCGTACCAGAGATGAGGATGAAAAAGTGTGCTGAGAAAGCGAGCGAGAAAGGGAGGGAGAAATGGAGAGAGAAATGGAGAGAGAGAGAGAGAGAGAGAAACAATCATTTCTCATGTCATGTTTTCGTCTGGGACATTTTATTAAATAACTTTTTTTTATTATTCTTTTATCTTTCAATAATTGTTATATCTTGCAATGAATATTTCAGATAGGGTCAAATCTAGTTCTACATTATAACTATGATCAGCTATATTTATTAAGGAGTACGTCAAAACGCGAGCTCATTAACAATCGCGGAACAGAAAACACTATTAGAGGTGAAGATGACTAATTTTAATCAGCCGATTACATAAACATGTTTTGTTAAGATTTCCTTTTCTTCATATTGATAGAAAAACCAAAGAAACCGAATATGAATTGTGAATCAGGTGCATTAAAATTGGCTACACAAATCTGCATCCTTTTAAATATGAACGCCATTTCCATGGCAACACGCGACTTATATTCAGAATACAGTTTGGATATATTTCTAAAGAAAAAATGGGACAATATAAAACTGTTTCCCTCAACTTTGGCGCCATATAAAGCATGGTGACATACCTTTATTTAGTCTGGTGTATCAAGGTAAGGTGTGTATCCGTGATCTTTGTGGTTTCAAGGAAAACGTCTTTGCCAAGAGAACACGAGGGGTTGAAAAGACGCTGTTTACTATTCCATCTATAATTACGTATTTTATCTTGCATGATTTTTTAATTTGAATTGTTCATAATTATTGGTGACATTTTTTATTTTTCAGTCCCCTTAAGTGGGTTGTATACATTTTGGTCCTTTAATTGCCTCGCTGGAATGTATCCAAGACCGGTCCCCAAATTGCACTGTAAGCACGTATGGTACCAGGTAACACACTCTTCATAGATGTGCAACAAATAAGGACAGTCTCCAGTTGATGTCAATGAAACAGATGTGACTATCATGTAACATACTTTTCACATACAGATGTACATGCAACAGGGGACGGTCCCCAGTCTGATTAAGAGACTCCTCTTGTACACTCTACTCATACTGTATGTAAAAGCAACATGGGACTTCCCCAGCCGGATTGTACACTTGTTGCTATCAAAGTACCAACAACAAGTTCATGTTTATTTCATTTATATTTTACACATTTATCAATATTTTCCCCCCTAAAAACCACCTTAGTTTGAAAGTATACATGCAGTACTTTTCATTTCAGTTGAATCTCCAGAGCACAGCTCATTCCCACTACTGCACAATACCCAGAAGTCTATCTGTATTACATCAGATTAATGATCAATTGCAAATCCTAAGATGTTATGTCATTAATGTACAGGTTGAATAAAAACTGCCACGTGCTGCAGCTTAGACACATATTTGATGATTTAAGCACTATATAAAACGGATTATTATTATTGAACGTAGATGTGGAAATTCAATTTGTAGATGGTATAATATTTATTATACTGGCTGTATATAATTAAGCATTTTGTTTGCTTGGGTGTTCACTTGATGGTATCATGCATTTGAGTCTTAGATTAACCTTTTGTTTTGAATAAAGTCAACACATTATTTTACTCTTATATATATATATATATATATATATATGTATACCTGCAATCACACTTATAGATCATTAATAGACCCGTTTACTAACACATTCAAATTTTATGCATACTTTTTGGAAGGAAAAGAGGTTGTTCTAGACAACCTGACAGATTGCCAGACATAGCAACAAGTACGTATACAAACTGGATTCCAAGTACTGTAGTTCATTCATTAATGACAGATTAATGGAATACCTGTTACTAGGTCATCCCAAGTAAAGAAAAAAAAATCCATATTTGAATCACTTAGTAAACATGTCTATTTGAGACACACTCAGTGTTTTTGCAGAGCAAACTGCTTATGGTGACTTGATTACCTGAATGTTCTTCTGAACCATCTGTACATTGAATTCTCTTCCTATTAGTAAGATTCTGTGTATAGTAGAAATCACATAAAACCACTGGACATTCAGCTCGATATCAACATTCCAGCACAGTGCAATCACCACAATCACATAACATGAAGCACTGAATTAGCACAGGACTCTCTTTAGCATAACATTTAGAGTTGTTTTAGAAAACAAGGGAGTTTTAAAGTTTGAAGATGCCAGGTGGCAGCTTGTGCAATAGGCCTGTTTACTAACATTTTGAAATGTTATGGATACTTTTTGAATATGGTTGTTCTTGACAACCTGAAAGTTTTCCAGACTTAACAACACGTAATGCATGCAAACTGGGTTCCAAGTATAGCACTTCAATCATTAATGATGGGTAATAATGGAATACCTCATTACTATGTCATCCCCAGAGAAGAAAAATCCATAAATTTGAATCACTTAGTAAACAGGTTTATTGGTAGATAATCATTTTATTTATGAATATGAAATAACCTCTTTCCTACTCCACTTTCCTAAAGGTTTTAAAATCATTACAGACTGATACTCACAAGTAGAAATAAATAACTAGACACTCAACTTGCAAGATGTAAATGTAATAATGATTTATGAACATTTAATAACACAATTGCCCAGTCCAGCAAGTATGTTTTCAATCAAGAAATGAATATGAAAAAATAACAGACCAGAAAACACTCAACAAATTATGAACACTGTCAAACATGATCATCTTTTTCTTTTCACAGGAAATCACATCAAGCATTCATTTAAAAAGTTAAACATGTTTATACATGGTGGGATCTGCCTTGAAAACTAGGTGAAATATTGCATTTCAGAACATGAAATATGCATGTATTGTGTTACCCCCAGTTCTGTTTAGAGATAAAACATTTAAATAAACACTGAAAGGTAAAGTAAATAACCTCATGCAAACATGGAAAGATCCAATAGGTGATCCTCGTCTGAGCATACACCTACATCTTTGGGAAACTGACCAGAAGAATCTAATCTTAATAATAAACAACTTTACTCTTATATAAAATAATAATCACTGCTATTTCTCCAAAGACATTCAATCAAGGAGTGGGAGTAGCAGCACAACATACTAATTTCTTTCCAGTTCTGTTACCTTATGAACAAACTGAGAAACCTCCTTCCAAAAACGAAATTGTAGATAAACTTTTGTAAGCATATAAGGACTTTAATAAGGAAAATATTGGGGAAAATCTTCCTCATATGTCTATAAATCTCTATATGTATACCATAATTTCAAAACCTGGGTCTGTGCTAGGGACTAACTTCATTTTCTCAAAATAAGTTTTATTTTCAACTACAAAGGCACTCATGGACACTCTTTTGGCTCAATAATTTTTAGTAAATGTTGAAATGATTTGTTCAGTTTTTCCAAATCCGGCCCCACCCTGAGACAACTACTAAAAGGAATAAAAATGACCCCTTAAATTAATTCCTGACAAGTTTGGTTGGAATTAAATGTAATTTCAAATAAACTGTAAGACAAGTCCCATTTGATTTCTAAACCCCTATATATTAATTCCTCTATTGACCAACATTGGCCACCACATGTGACGAACTACTTTATTTTCAAACAATATAGCACAGTACAAGCATGGTTGACCCTAATTAGGCCAGGCTATTTTGGCCTTATGGCAGGGGAGGGAGGTTTCTGAGGCCCGCGTGAGATGTCGTCCATCGACCGAACGATCAAGACTAATATTAGCAGGGACGATGCCTGCATTGTATAATCTACAAAATCGTAGGCCCTACATGTATATAAATTTTTTCTTCTTAAAGAAATCATTTTATTAAAAAAAATTATGCTAATTTATGCGTGAAATCAGAGTTGCTGCCTCCAAATCACAACATATCACTCCAAATACATTAATTTTTGTTCACGATACTCTTTATAGTATTCTTAGCAAATGTGCTTTAAAAAAAAATCATGGTATCAACTAAACACATTGTGCATTGAAAGTACGCATGAAATCACATTTATGAGAAACTTAATTGCATGCCTGGACGTAGTAAATATGGTCTGAAACGATGTGCAAGATTAAAACTAGAAAAAGTGTGTTGTGTCCATAGGAAACAGATGCCCCCACTTAATGTGGTTATATAGTAAGCATTTATTAGTTTTTTGGTCTGAAAAAGAGATGTTGATTTCATTCTCGATCCTGCATTTTTTTTAAACTGAATCAAATTCAGATGCACATTTATGTATTACAAAACCAATAAATCAACTAGTGACATACCAACAAATTAAAATCCATCAAACATTTCTGAAGTTATATGGAGGGGAAACACATTTTTGACTAATTTGCATATAATGAAGTGTGACCTTTGACCTGCAGACTCGAAATTCGAATTTGACACCTACCTTTACACCCAAAATCATTAAAACCCGTGCAATATTTTTCAAGTTATCGCACGGAAACCAATTTGCATAAAAATTTATGAGTTGTGACCTTTGACTTGTGACCTGTGGACTCCGAATTCAAATTTGACCTGTCTTTTATTGTGATCTACCTACACACCAAAAATTATTAGAATCTGTCAAATATTGAACAAGTTATCGCTCAGAAACCAATTTGGGGATGAAGAGACAGACAGGTGCAACGCTTAATGCCCCCTCTAGACTTTGTCTGCAGGGGCTGGTGGGAAACAGCCCCACCCCACCCCACTCCCCCAGGCCTAGTTAGGGTTAACTTTGTTCTATAATTCCTAGATGTGAAGAAAAATTGTGAAAAATACCTTTACTACTTGTAAAGGGGTCTTTATTAATAGCTACTTGCTGGCCAGGATGCCATTGTTAAAAAACTAAGTCCCCCCCCCCCAAAAAAAAATAAAAAATAAAAAATAAAAAATAAAAAATAAAAAAATAAAAAAAATAAAAAAAATAATAATAAGTCAAAATGAAAGAATGTGTTTCCATAAAGAAGACAAACATGAAAACAGATGACGGGGGGTGCAAAATGGGGAGCATAGCTCACTTGCCTCTGGTGCAGGAGACCCTTTACATTAGTTTACTGCAAAATACATCATGGTAAAAAACTGGTTTATGTTAATGTAGCTAAGAGTAAGAAACTTATACACTGTAGAACACACTAGGAATCCCCACTCCAAATAGAGCTTGATAATGTGACAAATGAAACACAGCTAGATACCAGAGTACAGTAATACATATATGAATGATTGGAAATTGATTATGGAAATTAATTATGGTGATACAGTAAGGAATATCCCAGAACATCCAAATAATTTCTCCAAAACAATTGCTCATAATGCAAGCAAGAAATATCTATAACAGTGATTAACATTTATGGCAGGAGGTAATCAGGACAATGAGGTAAAATTACATGTGTTATAAAATCCATTTCTTTCTCTTCTAAGGTTAATAGCATGTCATCGCTTTTTGCATAGGTAAACTGAACCAAAAATAACCAAAATGTTTCATTCTTAAATGAACCTTAATCAATATAATTTATATTGACTCCATTTACATGGTTCTTAAATAATAAAATGGTAAATAGTACAGAACAATTTTATCATATATATTTATAGTTGGAAATAATTCTCAACACTTGGATTATTAATGTCTTTGATCATGGTAAAAGATTTATATACTGTATTATCAATACCCATATAATAGTTCAAGCATTAAGATGATATTTCCTACTAGTGGAATATAATGCGACAGAAGATGTGTAAATGTATGAGATAGGTCTTTTGACAAAAACAGGTCTCCTAGCAATACTAACACTATGCTAGTGACATACGGTCGTCCCCGCCTCACTAGCAGCCTTAGGCTAGCTAGGTTCCCACTGCCAATCTATGAACTTGATGGAGACTGATCAAACTATACTATTTTTGGCCTGGTTGGGTTTGCTTAGCAAGAGCAATCATCTCATATCTCACATTAAAGAAATTAAAGAATAAAAAAAGTAGAGAAGACTGGGACATCCAGTATTGGTGCAGAGAGGATACAGGGAGAATCTATAATTGTACATGACCCAACACCTCAAAATTAAAAGCAAGTCACAAATGCACCACAGGAGAAATCCTTTTACAGAAATCCTTTTACAGAAATCCTTTATTCCCCTTGTATTTTAGATAATTTCTAATAAAGTCTTTAACTTGCGTCCAAGTACGCTTGTGAAGAACTGCCTTTTTGTTAAGACATTGCTGAATCACACCTTTACCTGGAAGTCTGTTTTGGAAAATCTCACGGTGAAAGGTTTCATGGACAGCAGCTTTTTCGTCAGGAGTCCAGGGTCGCTTGATCTGATTCCTCTTACCGGTACTCAACTTTTCAGGTACTGCTTTCACTCTCTTGGGGCCTGCTAAAAAAAAATGAACAAAATAAAGGTATGGTAAGTTCATTTTAAAATTAACAAAGGAATGCCATCAAATCTTTCAAAAGGTTAGAATTAGTCAATTCTAATTACATTCTGTGCCTGGAACATAAAAGATTGATTGTATTTTTTTTACAGGGCACATACATGTATGTAGCAGATTTAAATCACAAGTTATTATTTTGGTCTTTTGATTGTCCCTTTTATACTCAATAGGGTTTATCATTTAAAAAGCACTTTGATCTTATAACACCCCTCTGTCATTCATAATCTCAAAAAGCATATCGGTATTGCCATTTCTTTCAGCATTCATCAATTTCCTCTTCTTTTTACCTCTCTTCTGTAATTTGCGTCTTGTCTTCTGTAGGTCCTGTGTGTACTCGATGACCTTTTCCTCAGCTGATGTTGTAGGGGAACAACCTAAAAATAAGAATAAATGTTGAATAAACAGTAAAATTAAAAAATACAGTAAACATCTTGTCAATATTGGGTGAAAATTATCAAAGTTATTGCATTTTGAATTTTTGTATTATTTTGTGAAACAGTGATATGCGTAATGTAACATTGGCTCACTAATACAGCCTGTTTTATGCATATCACTGTTTCATGTAACAATTAAAAGTTTCAAGATGCTCTAACTTTGTCACTTTTCATCTGATTTTAATGAAATTTTCACTGTTTTGCTTGTTTAATTGTGCTGTACTTATTCAAATCACTATGATACCAGTGTGGACTCTGATAACTCATTATGCAACCATGGGTTCCCTATGTACAACATTGTACTTGGAGGGCAAATTTGCTGCTTTTTGCAGCAAATTGTAAAGGTTATACGTTTTACTGCAATTGTTCGGGAATTTCTGAACAGCAAAATTTTCCTATAATATGAGGATTCCAGTAATGTTATGTTCTCTCAAAAGAAATTGCTTTGTAATTGTAAAAATATTCTATTATCTTAACATGTGGATTTGATCTGATAGGTTGTAACTAACTGATCCATGTTAAATCAAACTGTTCATATTTAAGCATACCTTTTCATGCCCATCTAGGTTATTTTGTAAGCTTTCCACTCAATTATCTTGGACCAAGTGATATAGTGATATTACGGCACAAGACTAAATCCATAACACAGAAAAAGTTTAACTGTATGTAAGCTGGGCAAGCAAAGCGGTCCAATTACCATACAGGACAATGGCAAGGCAGTATGTTGTGCCTGGAGATTATTATTTCTTTTTCATTACTGTTCATGCTGCTTATAATCCAATACAATATTCTTACTGAAATGTAATATTGTGATGCAACAGGGGATGGTCCCCATTCTAATTGAGCAGACTGACGTCTTATACTTTCAGATGACACACATTTCATATACATGCTACAGGGGATGGTCCCCAGTCTGATTCAGGAGACCAATGTGTAAAGGTATCAGGTGACACATAATATTTATGTACATGCAACAGAGGACAGTCTCCAGTCTGATTGAGCAGATTAATGATGGGGCAAAGGTATCAAAAAATATCAATGTATATATGCGAAAAGGGACCGTCCCACTCTGACTGAGCAAAAATAAGTATCAGGTAACACACATTCCATGTACATGCAACTACATGAGACAGTCCCTAGTCTAGTTGTAAATAGTATAATAAAAATTAAATATTATTATTATTATTAGTTGTGCAGATTTATGTCTTTTTTTAAGCTATCCGATGTCACAATTTTGTTTACAGTAAACTCTGCCTAAGCCGAATAATCACCTAAGTCAAAGCAATTTTTTAGATCAGATTATACAAGACATGTGTTATTTACCTCTCTCATAAGTCAAATTTCTCCTCAGTCAAACAGATTTCTGTGGTCCCAAGAGATTTGACTAAGGCAGAGTTACCTGTACATGCAAAAGGGAACTGTCCCCAGTCTGATTGAGGGGATTGAGGTGCCGGATAACACATTCTTCATATTTGTGCAACAGGGGACAGTCCCAAGTGGATGTCCATGGAACAGATATGACCATCATGTAACATACTTTTCACATATAAGTGTACATGCAACAGGGAACGGTCCCCAGTGTAATTGAACAGATTGATGTGATATGCTATCCGATAACGACATATTTTATGTAGGTCTTCATGCAACAGGGGACGGTCCCCAGTCTGATAAAGAGGAGTGTGTGTAAAGGTATACACCCTATCCATACTGTATGTACCGTCACAAGCAACAGGGGACTTCCCCAGCCAGATTGTACACTGTTGCGTATCAAAGTACAAAAGTTGATGTTTATTTATTTGATTTTTTACACATTTCTGAATATTTTTTTCTTCCAACAAACGCCACCTTCATCATTCATAACCTCAAAAAGCATACTGCCATTTCTTTCAGCATTCATCAATTTCCTCTTCTTTTTACCTCTCTTCTGTAATTTGCGTCTTGTCTTCTGTAGGTCCTGTGTGTACTCGATGACCTTTTCCTCAGATGATGTTGTAGGGGAACAACCTAAAATATAAGAATAAATGTTGAATAGACAGTAAAATTAAAAAATACAGTAAAAATCTTGTCAATAATTGTTTTATGCATATCACTGTTTCATGTTACAATTAAAAGTTTCAAGATGCTCTAACTTTGTCATTATTCATCTGATTTTGAAGATTTTTTTTAGTTTTACTTGTTTAATTGTTCTCTATGTACTCAAGTCAATTTCATATATATATATATATATATATATATTTTTTTTTTATATATAGAAACCTGTATAGTATCTGTAAAATCTCTTCTGAAAAGCACCCCTAAAAAGGGATCAAAGGTCCTCATTTTGGTATTTTGCAACCTATTTTAACAGTTCCTAAACTATTGGGAATCCAATTTCCTACCCTTTTTGCGGATCTGTCCTTCTCATCAGCTCTTAATTTGACAACCTTTTTTCTTAATTTTGCTGTTTTTGATACCCTAAATGCGAAACCCGGGTTACGCCCCTAATGATGAAAAAGTACCTTTTATCTGTTGTTGTGTTCGTGCTTGCTATTAATATAGGTCTCAATGAGACATAACCCCCCCCCCCCCCTTTCGTACACAGGCCAACAGAGAAATGAATTATTCTTTCTACTAGCAGGAATGAGTCCAGCCAGCCTATATGGACATTAATGCACTGTGATCTAATAATGAGTTAATGCCACACGAATCAACATTAAGTACACACCTCACAAACGTAACTATCCACTATCCTATTCAACTTGCACCATCATGTAATATTTGGAACCATAGCACTCATAAACATTTAATATTTGTATAATATATAAGGGCACTAAAGAATATAGCATATGTGTGAAGATCAGAATAGGAATGAACATGTTTCCCCCTCTTTGCAATGCAACCATTTCTCAAGAAAAGATTTTAAACAATTAAGCTTTAGATTTTTACAACAGCATTTTGAATGTCTACTGAATTTTTGTTATGCTTAACAGTGCTTCTTTGTTGAGTTATTTATGGAATCTAAATTTTTCAGAATCTTGAACTGTTTCAAATTAACTCTCCATCCTCTTGTACTGTTGAAGACATTCAGATCCCTCAAATAATAATAATAATAATGTCAACTTGTAAAGAACACATATCCATTATAAAAGACTGCTCAAGGCGCTCTTGTAATATATCTACATAATTATACAATATTAATAACTACAACATAAACAAATGGTGCTTAAGTTTCTTCTTAAATATTTCAATTGATGATGATTGTCTCATTTCTAATGGTAAAGTTTACCATAATTTGCGTGCAACGTTAGCAAAAGCCAGCTGTCCCCCATTTGTTATTGGTTTTGGGTGTACATAACACAAACTGAACTTACCACTGACATCCGCAATATTCTCATTGTCATCATTTGGCTCAAGAGGGTCTTCCAAAATTACCTCTGTAAGGGTGATGATGATGCATGAAAAAGACCAACAAAAAGATGGATGAAATAAATATTGATGCCTCACACATTCAGTTATCTGTTCCAAAAAGTAAGTTTTAAAAATGCAACAATTTTTTGTGAAGTCAATCAACTTGATATGCATCGTCATATTGCACTAAAAATTACAACAAAAACGTTTTTTAAAAAGCATGATGGAATTTTGCATGGTTCCTCCCACTTGAAAAGAAAATCAATCTTTAAATCTAAAATTTACCAATTAGAAATAATCAAAGTGGCACAGCATGGGGGAATTAGGACAATGCATTGTGGGGGTATGCTTTTGAACATAACAGTGGTGTTCCCTGGTAATGCACTGTATTTTATAATCCCACAAGCTACATCACTGAATAATCATTCCATTTGACCAAGAAGTTAGAAAATCAATTTTGGGGCATGTAATTATCCTTGTGGCTAATGCAAAGTTAATTAGAATTTGGACTTTATCAACAGAAGCTTCTTCTCTTTCGTTTTCTTTCACTTTTTTTTTTTTGGGGGGGGGGGGGCTGGAAAGAGATATAGAGAGCTATGGCTCAATTATGCAATAAATGAGTCTTTCATCGAGTATGTTTCATCTTCTGTTCCCATTATTATGTGGAAAGGCATATACATATGAACGGCAAACTGTAAATTTTTGCTTTTGCACCTTGGAAGAGAAAAACAAATGTGTTCACCCATGCATAAAGTTTCTTTATGTGTTCACCTACAAGGTGAAAAGAGCATTAATTTCCTTTAATTTGACGTACAATATATTGAGTTTTATGAAAGTCTACTATGACAAAACTGAACTTTAAAAAGTGTTTATTGTTGTTGAGTGTACATTGTATATATATATATATATTTTTTTTTTATGTATGTGCTGCAATATAAATTTGCCAGAGATGTTTAATAATTCTGTTCAAGTATTTTATCAAATCTGTAGCATTCTAGATATAGTAATATTGCAAAAACATTTATAAAAAAGGATACAGTATAATGGCTTAGGAGGAAAACAGATTTGTCCCACCACACAGATATTGCTTAGAATTGTATTTGTCCTTTTATAGCTTCAAAGGCTTACTGAGAGAAGAAGTTTAATATGAAAGATGCCACTGTTTTGTGAAATAATCTAGTAGTTGTAGATCAACTTGAAGGTACAATATACATATAAACATACCTTCCCCTTTATCCAACTGGATGTCATCAAGTCCCTTTCCACTCAGACAACTTAGATCTCCACTGTCTAACTGCAGCAAAACCTTTGAAACCTTGGCCAGTTGTAAAGTCTCGTCTGGTAGACGATAGTATTCTCTGTGAACATGAATATCATGCCCCAAGAACTTTGCAAGGATGTCTTCCTCATTCCGTTCTAGATTCATCAGTTGAGAGACTGTTCCTATATGCTTCCGAAGTCTTGTTGATCTAAGAAACTCTGGTCTACTTGCTCCACAAAGATCAGCATGCTTGCGAAGAGTATCACATCCTCTGATGTGTCCATTGCTATGCAACATTGCAAAGACAAATTTGTTGTCATCCAAAACCCCAGCTTTCTCTCTGTTGTGATTGAGTAGATCCAAGCTATCCTTCATTACCTCAGTTAGCAACATAGGAACAGTGCGGCCCTTCTTCCCTACGATTTCTATGCGCCATAACATCTTGCACAGTTCTTGTTCCCACTTTGACAAGCCTTCCAACAGAGTTAGGCCCTCAGAACCTTTTCTGCATTTATGAAGGTCTTCTACTCTCATCTTAGAAACCTCCCCTGATCTCTTGCGGTTGAATACCAACAATAAAGTCAGGGTAACTTCAGACAGATGTTTCCAATGTTGCTGAATGTTCGATGGATCACTGAGTAGATTTTGTTTCCCATGTTTCATTTCTTTCTTCAGGAATGATGCCAGGGTCTGAATGTCAGTTGTTATTGGCAAGAATTGGGGGTTGTTCCTCTTGTTTTGCGTAAGTGTGCGTAGGGCATGGGACGAAACCTGCTCATGCCAGTTCATGTCCAGGAGCTTGGAGAAGTTATTGCATCTGTCCTCAAGGACCTTATCACCTGCCATTATACCTTCTGCTAGCAATATATTACAGACCTTCTTCATGGTATGTCCAAGTTTGAGTGCTAAACTTGGAGTGACATACAAATGCCTCTTCCCGTCAAACCCAGCTACTGTTCTTGTAGCCTCCACCACATCTCTGAACTTGCTCGGGTCAATTAAATCAGCCAAAGATGTAGTACTGTTCTTCGTTTTTCGTCTGTATTGTAATACCATTCTTCCAACCTCTCTCAATTTATTTCGGATGTGATTATACTGCTCACTATCATGTCCCAACTTGAGAGCAAACTTGTCAGCCAATTTCTTCATGAGAGGGTCATTCTTAATGAAGCTTCCAACACCTTCCTCATCATCTCTCAATCCAGCAAATATAGCACGAACTGCCTCGGAGCCCTCAAAAGGTAACATCATTTTACCAGCTTTGACACGATTTCTTCGCATGCGCTTCCTGACTGGTTCATCTGTCTTCTCATCAAACACACAACTATGCTTCCACAGGTCTCTTTTTGCAAAAAAGCCATAGCAGGTATTGCACGGTACATATTTATCACAGTCAGCATCTTTTTTGTTGGGTCGGTATACTGGTATCAGTACACCTTCCTTGTTTTTTAGCACCTCTGCATTGTGAAGGAAGTTGCCATAGTTTCGCATCTTTGTTAACAACTTGTTGTCTTGTGTTGCTAACCATTCAACAACTTGGGGTTCATTTTTATGTGCCTTAAACTCCCTTAAATGTCTTGGAAATTTCATAACATACCGTTGGCAAAATGGGCAATATGTCCCTTTGTTGTATTTTCTTCCATTTGTATTGTCTGTGCACATAACTGTTGGCTGCTCATCTACAGTAGATGGATCTTGCGTGTTTATCACAGTGACAGAATGCCCTGCATCTCTTGAATCTTGTGTAAGGTCAGGATCCTGTTTATCTCCATCTACTGGATCTGGTGCAAAGTCAGTATCATTGTCCCAATCGTCTGCTGAATCTGGTGCAAAGTCAGTACTATCACTGTCATCTTCATCTGCTGAATCTGGTGCAAAGTCAGAATCTTTATCATCATCATCTACTGGATCTGGGGCAAAGTCATCATTGTCATCATCTGCTGAATCTGGTGCAAAGTCATCATCATTGTCATCATCTGCTGGATCTGGTGCAACATCAGGAGTCTGTTTATCTTCATCTGCTGAATCTAGTGTACAGTCAGGGGTCTGTTTATCTCTATATCTTGAATTTGGTGCAACATCAGGATTCTGTTTATCTCTATCTCCTGAATCTGGTGCAACATCAGGATCCTGTTTATCTCTATCTCCTGAATCTGGTGCAACATCAGGATCCTGTTTATCTCTATCTCTTGAATCTGGTGCAACATCAGGATTCTGTTTATCTCTATCTCCTGAATCTGGTGCAACATCAGGATCCTGTTTATCTCTATCTCTTGAATCTGGTGCAACATCAGGATTCTGTTTATCTCTATCTCCTGAATCTGGTGTAACATCAGGATCCTGTTTATCTCTATCTCCTGAATCTGGTGCAACATCAGGATCCTGTTTATCTCTATCTCTTGAATCTGGTGCAACATCAGGATTCTGTTTATCTCTATCTCCTGAATCTGGTGTAACATCAGGATTCTGTTTATCTCTATCTCCTGAATCTGGTGCAACATCAGGATCCTGTTTATCTCGATCTCCTGAATCTGGTGCAAATCAGAATCCTGTTTACCACTATCTCCTGAATCTGGTGCAACATCAGGATCCTGTTTATCTCTATCTCCTGAATCTGGTGCAACATCAGAATCCTGTTTACCACTATCTCCTGAATCTGGTGCAACATCAGGATTCTGTTTATCTCTATCTCCTGAATCTGGTGCAACATCAGGATCTTGTTTATCTCTATCTCCTGAATCTGGTGCAACATCAGAATCCTGTTTACCACTATCTCCTGAATCTGTTGCAACATCAGGATCTTGTTTATCTCTATCTCCTGAATCTGGTGCAACATCAGAATCCTGTTTATCTCTATCTCCTGAATCTGGTGCAAATTCAGGATCAGTGTGAATAACATCCTCCAATGGTGTCAAAATGCCTGGTTCATCTTCATTTCTGCCTCTAGATGCTGCTGAACCACCCTGTTCATTCTCATCTCTGCATTTATATCCAGATTCTTTGATACATGCCTTCCCTTTGTCATTCTTACCATTACAGCATTCAATAATGGCTTCATTTATATGCTGTAATCTCTTGAAATTTGATAACCCTGAATTTAAGCCACCATCGTCTTCAGAATCCAGTACAGTTTCATAGTTCCCATCATCTTCATTCCTGGAATCTACACTCAATGCTATCTTGTTATATAGTTTTTCTTTTTTTCTCCATGAGAGACCTTTCGCAGCATAGTCGTATCGAATCTCTTCTCCTTGCTCAATATCACGTAGAGAGAATAAACACAAATGTAGTGTTCCAGAACAGCTAATGATCTTTCTCATCCTTGCATTGCAAGAGCGTTTTGATGGAGCACTATCATTCACAAGACGAGCTAAATGGTTGGTGTCAGATGCATCAATGCTGAAAAGAAAATAGGAAAAAAGAAAGAAAAAATACACACTTAATTCATTCCAAGAGGTACATGCAATGCACAAAACACTCAAATCACTTAAACCTTATCAAAGTATCTGTATATTGTAATTCAAATTCCAGCATTTTCATTTGCATGATTTTCTTGAAAAATAATGTAGTCAACTCTGCTGAGGTCAAACCAGTAGAATTCAGGAACAATGAACTGTATAGACTGTCAACTTGGAAGATTGGGGGCGATTGTTTGACTTAAACATCATAAGCGATCATTATTAGAGATATTATACATATCAGTATATATAATTCTTTGTCATTTACCACCGCCACTCCTACCCACTTGTGTTTCCATCGTGTACAATTATAATGTATTGTAAGTGTGGTTTCTAATATATTGATGTAATTTTTATATATTTTTGTCCATAGTGTTTTTTGCGTGGTTTCTTCTTATTCTTCTTATGTTTCACTTCATAGCGATTAGTCAGAGTGACCAATATCAATCTGTCGCTCTGTCGCTAAGACACACACAAAAAAAAAAAAAGGAAATGGCTAATTTCCACAGATTTTTTTCCGCCTTTTGCTTCTATCAGCGGAAAAGAAAATCCAAAATCCGGGAAAAAGTAGAAACCCGTGAATACGCAAAAAATTGTCATGCCTGAAGCTTTCTACACAATTTGAACATAAGTTTGCCGCTTTTGTGTATTCATTAGCATAGTTACTGCAACTAGGGGACGATCCCCAGTCTAGCATACTCTTTGCAGCTTTTGTGTAATCTTTAGCATCATTACTGCAAAGGGGGACGATCCCCAGTCTAGGTACATTGTGCTCTAAGCTTTATACACAACTTAATTGAACATGAGTTTGCCACTTTTGTGTATTCACTAGCAAAGTTACTGCAAAAGGGAACAGTCCCCAGTCTAGGTACATTGTGCTCTAAGCTTTATACACAATTTGAACATGAGTTTGCCGCTTTTGTGTATTCACTAGCATATTACTGCAAAAGGGGATGGTCCCCAGTCAGGTTACAATGCACTTTAAGCGTTGAATAAAAATCATCAGAATAATTATTTACTTTTACATGTATTTCTACCAAGATTGATAACTTTCATGAAATATGAACAAATAATACAAATTGATTTATTAATTCTCATATTAAGTAGTGAAAACACAATTAAAGTCTACTGACCTAAAATGACCTTTCACCTTGAATTTGTGACCTGTAATTTGTGTCATATGATTGTGGTACTTGATAACCCTTGGGTTCGTTTCATGGAATTTGACACGGTACTTTAGAAATTATGCTAAAAATTCAAAATCTTGATGTTAATTCATGCAACAAGAAAGTTTAAGTTTGCAGACCTGAAATTACATTTGACCTTGACTTTGTCACCTAAAAACTAATCACATGTTTGGTGATACTTGCATGATTACCCTTATGTTCAAGTTTTATGGAACAGGAATGTATACTTTCAAAATGTTGATAAAAATTCAAAATCTTAACCTTTGGTAAGTTTTGATGTTGATGCCACAACATAGTCTAAGTTTGTTGACCTGAAATGACCTTGATTGACTTTAACTTTGCGACCTGAAATTCTACTCACATGATTGGGGATACTTCAAAATTCTTTAGTCTACATGTAAGTTTAATTGAATAAGGACTTATACTTTCAAAATTATATCAAAAATTCCAAAACTAACTTTGGGTAAAGTTTGTGATGTTGACACTGCCACCGCCGCCACCAGAAAAGCAACGAGCTACATGTATGTCTACTGCACAGAAGAATGGGGAATCTAGTGCATGCATGTATCAACTTTTGTGGTGACATGTGAATTACAGTATTAGAGCAATATATCTCTCAGAATAAATACAGAGCTCTTTCTATCATACAACAGCCATGAACACCAAAGAGATTAAATACATGTAGTTATCAACATTTGTATTTTTTTTTAAAAAGGATTAAAAAAAACCCTCATTTAGAGTGTCAGACTGGCCAAATTATTGTGCTTCTTTATGCCTCGGATAACAACTTCCAAAATTCTATGTATTCTATTATTCAATATATTGACAATAGCTACATCGATCATGGTCAGACAGCACAAGTATCAGTTGTCAGATTATTACATTCCGTTTATGTTCGTTTGTACTCTCATACCCAATAGGGGGTCAAAGAGTCAGTACAATTCTACAAATTCTACAATGAACTATGAAACTATAAGTATAAGGCAACAGAATATCTTTTGAATTTAAATGCTTACCATTACAAGACAGCAGGAAATGTAGGGAAAAGAAGATAGGTATTTGTAGAACAGGACACAATGAAAAAATTTACAAGTACAAATGACAAAATAATACAAAAAGAATGATGACAGTAAAGACAATTAAAAACATTAAAACTGCACAGAACAAATAAAAAACATCTACATGTGTATGAGATGCCTGGACAGAGATAGCAGAATGAGAGGGCTGTGGTAAAGGTGATGGAACAGAGGGTGCATGAGACAGACTAGGAGCTGAAACGAGTGATAATGAATGTTGATGAAGAGAAATTGATGATGGATGAGATGATAAAGAAGGGCAAGATGAATTGTCACATGTAGATGGTGGAAAATGAGAAGACACAGGAGTTGGTGGAGGTGCTAGGGGGGTATCATCACTCTCAGTCTCATCACTCATATAGGTAGAGCTGTGGGGAACACAAAAAAAAGATGTAACCTAGATAACACCAAAATCTAGTTTCCTTGCTGCCCCCCCCCCCCCCCCGGCCCCCCATCAAAAATGTAGGAAGTATTAGGTAAATGTATTTTTAGTTATATACGTTTTTGGTCATTGTTTACCTCTTATCCTACGTACACTGCAAATATTGAAATTTAAAAAAATAATAGTTTATTTATTAAATGATACGCCAGTACATATTACACATGTCAGCTCCACTGAGGGGACGGTCCCTATGGTCAGGTTACATTGTGCTCTAAGCTTATACTATTTGAACATGAGTATGCTGCTTTTGTGTATTCACTAGCATATTACTACAAAAGGGGACGGTCCCCAGTCTGGTTATTGCACTTTAAGCTTATATATACACAATTTTAACATGAGTTTGCCGCTTTTGTGTATTCATGCACTAGCATAGTTACTTTACTGCAAATGGGGACGGTCGATCCCCAGTCAGGTTATTGCACTTTAAGCTACACTATTGCCCTTCAAGCTTACACAATTTGAACATGAGTTTGGCGCTTTTGTGTATTCACTAGCATAGTTACTGCAAAAGGGGACGGTCCCCAGTCCATCTTTGCTGCATTGTGAGCTAAGCTTATTTGAACATGAGATTGCCGCTTTTGTGTATTCACTAGCATAGTTACTGCAAAAGGGGACGGTCCCCAGTCAGGTTACATTAATTGCACTCTTTAACTTATACACAATTTGAACATGAGTTTGCCGCTTTTGTGTATTCACTAGCATAGTTACTGCAAAAGGGGACGGTCCCCAGTCCATCTTTGCTGCGACCTAAGCTTATTTGAACATGAGTTTGCCACTTTTGTGTATTCACTAGCATAGTTACTGCAAAAGGGGACGGTCCCCATTCAGGTTACATTAATTGCACTCTTTAACTTATACACAATTTGAACATAAGTTGGCCGCTTTTGTGTATTCACTAGCTACTGCAAAAGGGGACGGTCCCCAGTCCATCTTTGCTGCATTGTGATCGAAGCTTATTTGAACATGAGTTTGCCGCTTTTGTGTATTCACTAGCATATAGTTACTGCAAAAGGGGACGGCCGGTCCCCAGTCAGGTTACATATAATAGCATTCTTTAACTTATACACAATTTGAACATGAGTTTGCCGCTTTTGTGTATTCACTAGCATAGTTACTGCAAAAGGGGACGGTCCCCAGTCGATCTTCGCTGCATTGTGACCTATAAGCTTATTTGAACATGAGTTTGCCACTTTTGTGTATTCACTAGCATAGTTACTGCAAAAGGGGACGGTCCCCAGTCAGGTTACATTAATTGCACTCTTTAACTTATACACAATTTGAACATGAGTTTGGACGCATTTTTGTATTCAGCATAGTTACTGCAAAAGGGGACGGTCCCCATTCAGGTACATTAATAGCACTCTTTAACTTATACACAATTTGAACATGGGTTTGCAGCTTTTGTGTATTCACTAGCATAGTTACTGCAAAAGGGGACGGTCCCCAGTCCATCCTTGCTGCATTAGTAATCTAAGCTTATTTGAACATGAGTTTGCCACTTTTGTGTATTGATTAGCATATTTATTGCAAAAGGGGACGGTCTCCAGTCTGGCTTCATTTCCCTCTAGGCTTTACACACAACTTGCATCCTGTGCATGTTGCTTTTTTCTTTAATTTTAGTATGATCATGATCATGAGTTGGAGGTCATCCATGCAACATTACAGTGTATCTCTACAAAGTAATTTAGGTCTAAATATCTCTAGCTCTTTTTCTCTCCCATGCATCTATTGGTCATTTATTTATTTATTTATACATTTTGTTGCTACATGTAATTTCTTTGCTTGTCATCAGGAATAATCTTACTTTCTTTAGTATTCTGCTCTCTGTTTAAGAGAATAATTTCACACTTGGTGTTCCGACAGACTGTCAACAATTACAATGGTATTTAAGGCAAATCACAAATCCCTCTTTATTTGTTGAGTGATTCTGATTTTCTTTTCTTTTGTAGACCTTACTACATGTCTGTGTGGTCAAATTGATATCGGATCGGAACAATCCTGATTTGCTAAAATGATTGATGGTTTGATACTTGGCCCCAAGTTCTAGGATGACATACTGCTTTCCAAATTGAATCATTTCATATCATTATCGATATATATCTTTTAACACAACAAAAAACTCCCCCTTACCAAAAAAGCATAAATTTTTAACAAAATTTGTTGAGCAAAAACAATTAAAATTATTACTGGTTAAGGCAAAAATGTCACTTTTCAAAAGTCACAATAGTCAATTTAATTTTTTTTTTTTGGGGGGGGGGGGGTGTCTGTGAAACCAAACTTTGGCGAAGTTGCTTTCTTCCATTGTTTGACCGCGTCACGCCTACATGTATCCCCGACACTTATTTTATCACGGTTGGCTGACACCATTTTTTGGGGGAAAAAAGTAATGTTCAGCTTTCTTTAATCTACACAATCTATTCAGTTTATGGAAAGAATTGGCATCAACCAACACGAGTCAGCATATCACATGTGAAAATACCGGGTAGTCGTTTTTCGAGCATTATTTAAATAGTACATTTTTAGCATTTCATGCTTCATACAGTACATGCAGTTAAAAACGTGCTCACTCAACCATGATAAACATCAACAGCGCTTACATGTAAACAACACCAAAAAGGGCTTGTTTATACAAAATTAATCTAGTTTGAACTGGGGGGGGGGGGTACTTTTGTGTTGTGTTGTTTTTTATCAACAAACACATTCCATAGTTATACTATTACATGCAATTATTGTATTATAACCCGTCGATAAGTACACTGAATAGTAAACAATTTTGGAATGCAAGTATGTTTTATATACAGTGCATCCCAGAAAAAACGAAACCGAGAAGTATCGATGTTCTATCATAACTTAATCACAACTATAATTAATGAATGATACATATTTGGAAAGCTTAGAGTCTCCTCTTTCATGTGATGCTACTCAGATAATGCATATTTCACGTGTGAGTGATTAAAAGCAATTTGAAGGAAGGAAACCAAAAAGACATTTGGCGGGCGGTATCTGAGTTTCTGCCCTTTCATATGACACCTCAATCAGGAAAAATGAGCGAGGAATGACAAAGTTCTGTTTGTTTAAAGTAGTGCTTGCATTTCCATAATTTTATTAAACAAATTCGTTTTCACTGGCTGCCTGCCGTATCAATAAACGAAATTAACAAAAGACTTAACTCCGCTTCGTTGACAATCAGCCGTAGACGAGAGTCTTTATGCATGGCTGATTGTCAACGAAACGGAGTTAAGTCTTTTGTCAAATCTGCTTTTTGCTACGGCAGGCACCCAGTGAAAACGAATTCGTTTGTTAAAATTATGAAAATGAAAGGGCTACTTTAAACAAACAGAACTTTGTTATTCCTGGCTCATTTTTCTTGATTGAGGTATCATATGAACGGAGCAGACAATGAAGTTTTCTAAAAATTTTACAAGCACTTTGATGACCATCCATAAGGGCCATTCCGGAAATACTGTGAGAGTGTAGTTTCGAAAGAAGGGTTTTTGCTATGTTACATGGACAAGAACATTTTGTAACAGATATTATTCTTACCACATTGTTTTACCCTCATGCTGGAAGAAAAATTGGTAGCTGTGGTGACTTGTATATTCCCTCCTCCCAGCTTCTTGCTCACTTATAGTCTCTCCCTTGTACTCCAGTAGAAATGCACCTTTCGGGAAGTCTTTAACAGCAAATAATCCATGTCCTGAATAGGGCAGCAACATTTAATATTGCAAGAAATTAAACAGAAGTGAGGTAATAATGTACCTATAAGATTCTTACATTCTAAAATTAAAAAAAGAAGGTTGTGGGGAAAAATTTAAAATTTAAATTTAATTTAAAGGTTAATTTATGTAGCATCATGTTACACTTTAAATCAAAATCTATTCATTCAACCCAAGATTTTGATTTTCCCAAAGTTAGGAAATGCAATGTATGGAAATGCTTTCTCACCATGGTAGTAATAATCCCCACATTTAGCTAAATATTAATATACAGACAATTCCCCTTTTCAGCTCCAAATTTACATACTGTCATGGGAACACTAATACAAATACTTTTGGGGTTTACTCTGTCTGAATTGGTTTGAACCTAGATCTAATGTACAATATAAATGTACATGTAGAGTCTAGGTGGAAAGACAACACTGATGATGCCTCATCGCAGTAGCCTGAACTATAGAAACTGAAGAATGGTAAATTTGGAAGAAGAAAAAATAGAAAGCAAAGTATCTATCCATGAAGAATAATTAATAATATATCAAGAGAATATGACACAGGAAAATGGTGTTCTTCATTTCTAAGTATAGTATTGACCGAAAATCTATAAATACATACCAACTTCAGAGTTGAGAAACTTTGGTTCAAATCCTTCTGGGTCTTCATATTTGTTCCCCAGGTACTTCTCATAATTTCCTGGTGTACACTTTCTTCCTTTTGATCTTGTAACTCTTCCTGCCATTACTGAAAAAAAGCAAAAGGTACAGTCAAGCACAGTATTTCATTTATCTACCACATTTATAACACACGGACATTTTAAAACATTCTAAAAAAATTTCATCTAGATTTTGGGGACTTTTTTGTGAAAATATTTCAAAAACGTTTTTCTTGGACGTTAAAAAGAAACCTTTTTTTCTTCATTATGTCCATCGTCCAACGTCTATATCAACAAGACTGCACAGTTAAAAAAATGCCACCACCATAGAGCAAATTTACAAACAAAAACAGAAGCAATTTTTCAAATACATGTTTGACCCTTTGATCTTAGTTCTCAGGTTCCTAAAATCTTATTAGTTCATTGGCTCTGCGAGATTCATACATGTCCTGAGTTTGATGGTTAATCTATCCTTCTGTTCTAAGTCTTTAAGTCTTTATGAAAAGCTTTTCTATGAACCCCCCCCCCCTACAACAAAAGAATTGGAGATCATAAAGGTACAAAATCATTAATATTCACAATGTTTCAGTTTCTGACCAAACCACCCCAGAATCACCTCTGAGGTGAAGAAAGATTGATATTTCTCAACTAGATTGTAGGCTTACACAACGTGTATAATGAGCTACTCTAAATCTCATTTTTATCCCCCCCCCCCCCCCCCCCGTTTATCAAAAAATAATCAGTTCCTGTTATAAAGCAAAGAAATTTTACCTACTCCTTCAGGATTCTTGTTGGTATAAGAGGTCTACAATCATTGTTATAACGTCATTCAAGGCTAGTATGTCCTCCTTGTATCCCACGATGATAATTAAGAGTGCTTGCATTAATGATTCAACCTGAATTTCAAAAGTTTCCTGATCCTCAACAGGTTCCAAATCCAGTTGTTGATCCTGTTGATTGAAAAGCAAAGAACAGAACAAAATAATGAAAATTTCTAGTATTAGTCAACTATGCTATTGAAATTATTCATAAGAAAAAATAAATGTCATTGACAAAATAAATAGGACCAACACTCTCTCAAAAGTAGTGTTTGTTTTATTACATCCTACAATCTACTCTCTGAATGCTATATGGTAAATTGTTCAAGTCTGGAGTAGGTCTACTCTTTTTGAGATGTCTTAGCAATCTACAAATGTGTATATGGACTGACCAACAATCCAAAAAATCATATGTACTGTAGCTGCTCATCATGGTAAAGAAGATGAAAGAATATTCAGATTAATATAATAATAATAATAATAATAATAATAATAATACATATGATTTATAAGGCGCCAAATCCACTTGATAGTCAAATGCTCAAGGCGCAGCTTGTGCAAAAGATGAAATACATACATGATACATTTATAAAAAGTGCGATAGGAAAGGTACAGACATGAAAGGTTATGGTAATCAATTATAAAGCTAAATTAAACAGATATTTCTTAAGATTGTTTTTTAACACTTCAGCAGAACTGCTATTCTTAATCCATTGAGGGAGAGTATTCCATAATGAAGGTCCAGCATGAGCGAAGGTTCGCTCCCCCACTTTGTTTTAACCCTAGGAGTAACAAGTAAGCCAGAGTTTTGAGAACGTAGCTGTCTAGAAGGAAAGTAATGCTTAATCAAGCCGATGTTATACTGCAGAGCAGAGCCATGTATACAGTGAAATAATAGCAAAATAGCAAAATATGTTGATGATCAGACATGAGATACTGTATATATACACATGAAGGACCAATTGCAGTACAACGATTTTTGCCCCCCCCCCCCCCCCAATTAAGATTGCACTACAACCATGTAAAATATGCATTTTAATGCTCTAAAATGCAATGTTTAAGCATTCACAAATCAAAGTTCTCTTATTCAGTAGTTAGGCTCCCTCAAAGAGACTACAGTTAATGCAAAGTTTGTCAGTTTTGAGAATTTCTCTCAAAAAGGACAAGTTTTAAGACTGAAGAGTTGTTTTCGTGCAAAAGGCATGGGCCCCATCACGGAAATTTGCTCTTACGTCATTCATAACATTGCCCTGCCTGGTCTCTGACCTCCCACGCCATCCGATGCTACCATCAGTGAATACATGTAATCTTGTCCAATACCAATAATGAAAGATAATGATGGGAAACAATTTATAACGTGGTCGAATAAAGCATTATTAGTTTTCTTTCTTTTTATTCTTAATGACAAATTCAAGAGCTTACACTCGATGGTGTTCCCCCCCCCCCCCCAAAAAAAAAAAAGAAAAAAGCTGGGACCCTTCCGATGCGCCTGTATGTATACTGTATGCTGGAAGGGATTTACTGGGGAAAATGTCTGTTCACATCAGTTTGTCACGTTCTGCATCCTCACAATTTTTAAGTAAATGAATTTTTGGGATATCTTGCAATAGCAGTCTACTTATACTTGATTATAAAGAGTTAAATGATGGAATTATTCTCACAGAGATTTCTATTAGTAAATAATAACATTGTGGTGTCAAATTCCAAATTTTAGCAAAAACTGACATAAAATAGTTATCCAACTGTCAAAATATAACCTAGATCTACATGTAGTGAATCCACTTTTGGACTTTTGTCTGCAAAATACTACCACCCAGATACTAGAAGAGGAATTAAAAAAAAAAACCTAGCTTTTGAGTAAAGTTACATCTAGAATAATTGACTTCAGAATTCACATCTCTTTTGTAAATATTTACCTCTATCTCCAATAAATAACATACATGTAGTCTAGATCTAGATCTAGTGAATGAGAAAAGATTAAGGTCCAAAACCAACTTTTCCAAAAGATTTACATCCAACTTTCAAAAGTAAAACATATCGACACATTTGTTATTGGATTTGAACATTTTATCCCTAACGTTACGGCTAGGTTGAAAAATAGTGGACACTACAATAGTCATACCCATGAAAGGGGCCAATGGCAATGCAATAAGCCAATAGGCATTAACAATTTGTGTCTTTTTCAAAAAGTAAAACTGACCAGCTTAAAATCGATTTAGATCTAGGCCTAAAGAAAAAATATTGCTCAGAGCTGTCCTTCAAGTTTTAAAACTTTGCATAGTCTAGACCTAGAATCTAGAAAACAATTTTTTTTGTCAATGACCAAATCCCTATTTTGGCGCACTTTGTCTTTGGCTCTCAGTAGGGGTTGATTCTGAAAATAAATCTCTAATCTTTGGTGTTAAGATAAAATCAGTATTCTGAAAATTGTCTTACCTAGACTAGATCTAGACTCCTAGATCTAGATCTAGAGTCTATTCTAATTTGTTTTGGATTTCTGATGCAAACATATTGTGCCTATCTAGGCCTACACAAGTAGGTCTAGGTCTATAGGCCCTATAAGAATAATTAGGCCTAAATCTAGATCTATATCCTCTAGACTCTAGAGTCTATAGACTCTATCACAACAAATATGCAACGAAACGACAAATCTAGATCTAGACTCTAGACCTAGATTCTAGATCTAATGGGGAAAAAAGCATGAGAAAAGAGGAACTATCTTGAAGCAGAGCTTGTTTAAGCGCAAGGAGGATATATCTCTTTGGTTGAAGTGTTAGTTCCTCAGCTGTTTTACAATAATAGAAAAGTTACGACAATTTTCAGAATACCACCCCTGGCTCAATTTTGACGGCATCGATCTGGCCCACTGTGTGGCTGTGCACTGCTAGCCGATCGGCGATGGTGGCCATGCTCATGGATATGGGGCACGGCCGTAGGCGAAGTTGTGTTAAATTTTCTAGGCCTATTCATATCTACCGTAGACTCTAGGGTCTAGATCGAAGTTAGAGTGTAGATTCTAATCTTTCCCATTCCCGTACTAGGCCTACTACAAGTCTAGATATCAATCTAAATATAACAGACGGAAACACGACACAGAAAAAGCTCAAATCATACCATAATCACGCGGAGACATCAGATCACTCACCCTAGCTTATGATGACCGGCTACACATCATGTCACCTAGCTAGTACCTTGGCGCTCCGCGGTTATACCCACCGCGCTCCCTGCACGAATCGTAAGCGTGAGGCGCGGCCGTCAGATGGTAAAACGGTCTAACTCGAAATTTTGACTTTTTGAGGTAAATTCACTTTCCGGGTAATGTGAGGGCGCTATTTCCAATGGTGCTATCGAGAAAATCCCATCATGTCTTCTTTTAGAGATAATTTCCGCTATCTTGGTACTTTTTTGTATTTTTCCTTCAGATTTGATGGTAAAACGGTCTATCTCTGAGTTAGCCCATTGCCAGTAATATCGTTTGGGGGTAAAACGAGCTATCTTTTACATAAACCTTTTAACCTTCTGAATTGAGATTTTTTAATCATCGCTGTCAGATGGTAAAATGGTCTATCTTCGAGTTAGTAGTATGGCAATAGTGTTTATGGTCTTTCTAGAAGATAGACCATTTTACCATATTATGATGTGTTGGGGAGTGTATGCATGTGCTGTGGTTAAACAGTCTATCTGCACAAAAATCTCATTTATTTTATAATTAAAACCCCAAATAAGCACAAAATTCTTCAGTTATCAGTGTTTAATATGCTTCTTCTTGTCCCTTTGCTAGAAATGGATTATACCCATCTCCTAAAAAAGCTGAAACTTCTAAGCTTCAAAGTCATTTTCCTCAGAACAGCGATTTTCGAGTTAGACCGTTTTACCATCTGATGGCCGGGCGCAGGCGGGAACATCACAGAGTTCATCGAGAGGTGATTCATCCACCGGGGTGGGAGCCCAAAATTTTGGCGCCCCTTCGATCCCGCAGTCAAATTATAAAAAATTGTGGACTCGGTAGGCCTCCCTCCCCAGCCTATATTTTCAGACATGCCAGATATTATGACTCTAGTCTCAGTCTGAACTAACATCATGCAGGCGTACATATTCTAAACTTAGTCGACACTATAATGGGTGACTTTTTTAAATAAAAAATTCTGAACATGAGGCAGGCTATGGTTTTGGGCACAAAAATTACTAACAATGGGGTATGATTTCGTAATTTTACTGTTCAACTGGAAATTTTCGCCCATTTTGACATCCTTAAAATGGGTACAGGTTTAGCGGCTTTAGCGCGGCACGGTACGTGACCCCCGTTGGAACTAAAATTTACGTCCTCCCCCCCCCCCCCCCCACCCGTCCCCAATTTGGGTTTTTGCAAAACCATATTTACTCTGATTAGGCCTAAAGTTAGTGGGAGCGAATTATGAAACAAAATTATATAGGTAATCAGAAGTGCTCAATTAATTTTGAAAAGGAAAGGTAAACTGAAAAAGGGGTAAGCCTTTTTTATCATAATCAAACAGACACTCATCAAAAATGAATGGCACCTAGGAGGGAGGTATATTTAACTTATTTGATAATAATAACAAAAAGTGCTTTACAGTGTATGATTTAAGTGTCAGAAAATTAAAAGAAAACATATATGCTCCGCCTGTATGCTTTATAGACCGATTTATTAGCCCTACCATTTGTGTCATGTAAAACGGTCTCTTGTAAACAGAATATTGATAAATACAAATGATGTCAATAAGTGCAAATACAATGCAGTAAATATGTAGCATTTAGTTAAACCTTCTCTGGAGACAACACCATTAAACCAATGACACTATATGCACAGTATAGGCCTAGCTGCTAGAATGAAATTCTTTTCATACAGAGATCAGTGAGAATACCGGAAGCTGCAACACGCGCGTGCATATATTTCGCCAAGAGATGGCGTCGTTTAATATAATCGCTTACGAGGATCACTACCTTTCACACAGAGATCGTCCAGTGTGTCCCGTCGTGTGTTGTTGCGCGCATAAATCCATGAAATAGGGGACTACCTCCCAAACATCAAATAAAGTAGAGTGGCCCTCCAGTGGCCTAAAAATGACATGCTCATGCTAATATCAGAACCGGGGACGGTCCCCGATCATCGAGCGTCCCCAGTTTGAAGGTGTGTATTCATAGTATCGTCCCCGTTTGCACGAGGGCACAGACGAACACACACACACACACACACACACACACAAAAGAGGCAAACCCACGAACAAAAATGGAAAACTCGGGGATACGACTGACTCATATTCGGAATAAGTGTCATTCCGAGATGTCTTTGTAAACAAAAACATATACTCACACGAAATGTTCAGAGTGATGCTGGCATTTCTTGATTCTAATGAACGTGCTGTTTGTTGGAGAACTTGACAAAGAAGGCGTTTGCCGTGATCGATGCCCATCGGTGTTAAGGTTAGTGTACTGTTGACATC